CCTACTCTAAGATCAGGGGTATGGCTGAAAGACTTTTAGTTTAGTTTTAGAAGAGGTTTTACGGTGGTGAACATTAATTTTCAGTTTGGTAGAAATTAATTTATAATTGAATAAGGTCATATGAGCGCCTAGGGGTGGATGTCAACAGAAGTCCTTAAAGGGAATCGGGCTAATTAGGCCTAACTGTGCTCACCTCTCTAGCTTCAACAACACAAAGTCTGCTTCGACTACCAAGGCACCCCGGAAATAGCCGGTCACAAGAGAGTGACAAATATACAAAAGAAGTAGAAGAAAATTGACGGTTGTAAGGATTAGGAAAGAAAAAGCAGCAGTTCCCTGTTGCAATTCCCGCATTTATGACTCCTAATGAGCATGATATCGATGAATCAGCCAAATTTACAATTTTATGTGCAACAGAACATGGTAATTCCCCCCTCCACCTTTGGGAATGACCTAAAGACTCTCCAGTCAGTAGCACCTGGGGTGTGGCTGAAACACTAACCCTACGGGTCTACTGAGATGGACACGGCCCGATCTTTTGCCGGGAAGAAGAAAATCGGTCGGGTCGTTTCTGTATTGTGTGTCCACCAATTCGGACAAGACACGACTAGTCTGTTGGCCTACTGGCCGTATTATTCCACACACTGTGTCCCAAGGCTATGTCTTTGGTACAGGGCTATAAATAGTCGAGGCCAATAACCTAGACGGTTAGTGTAAGCAGAACGTAGCCAATAACCCAATGGGTTTTTAAAAGAAAATCGGTAAAATTGTTAATATACATATGTTACTTTAAGTAACTGTACCTACGAAATCCTTTTAAAATTCACAAAAAAACGGAAAACGATTGAGAGTTAAACCAGGTGGTTTTCGCGTAGACTTTGTCAATTTTGAGGCGCTGATTACGAATATGACATTAGAATTTTAATCTGAACTCAAAATTAGAATTATTTAAAGCTCCGGCGGGGCATATGGCTCATGAGTCACGACCCGGCCTGGCTAAAATTGAGCAAGCGGATTTCCAACCGACAAGTCTTTGTCGGGTCGTGTCGTGTCTGTTGACACAGCCAAACGGACTTTTCTCTCATTTCTTAAGAAATAAACGGTGTTCCATTTCAACTCCCGACTTTCCGAGAGACGGACGGAATCGGGTCGATTGGTGTCCGTCGCAGTGGACAATGGGCCCTATAGGAGCCCCAGATGGAGGGGTAGAGGGAGGTGGAGGTGGGAGCAGAAGTGGAGACGAAAGAAGACGACAGAACACGATTAGAGAGCAGGAAAGGAGGCGAAAGGAGACAATTTTAGAGAAGAAATTTTTTCGTTGTTGTCAGGTTTCGAACCCAGGGCCAATAAAAGAGAGGCAAACACCATAACCTCTCTGACAACGAGAGCGAGCCCCTCGATCTCAACTCTGATGTGTTTTTATATCTACTCTGCGTTCAATATAAGCATAATGTCGCGATTAAAAAAGCATGATAGGCTTGCTTTTAAAAGCGATATTGCCCCAGTTTAAACGTTTAAAAATACAGTGGAACTCAGATTCAACGAGGTCGCCGGGCCTGACCTAAAATCTCGTTGAATCCGAGTGTTCGTTATAGCAAACATGTGGTTTTGTGTAGATAATTACAGGCACTAAGCAAGTACTGTATAAAGAGAAGTCACAAGTAGTGCCTGAAATGCCTGCATATGATGAGCTGTGTAAATCTCGCCTGTGTCATCTCGATTGTTTACCAAAAAGTTGTGTTGCTGTGTAGAGCCTAGCACACGGCAACTTTTGATTCCATAGACCAGCGCTCAATTCGTTATGTAGATCTACGTCAAGACTAACTTATCATGGTAATAGCGATCAGTTGCCGAGGTGGAAAAAAGACTGTGACGCATTTGTATCTGCGACGTTCGTCCCCGATACACACCAGAGTAGACACGTGCGCGTGCCAACAACGCATGTGTTGGTGTAAAAAAAAAAGGCCGCTGATTGGTCGCATGCAATCGGCTATGTGAATAATGGTTTACGATCCAGGTGCAATGAATGGTTTCAAGGAATAGATAAAGTTCGTTCTGGGAGAAAATTGAGCGGAGCCACGTCTGCGGGGGCTGTTCACCCTGGAAGCGACCTCGTTGAATCCGAGCTCGCTGATTTAAGTGCTCGTTGAATCCAGGTTACTTTTTATTGATTTTAAAGAAGAAAAAAACCGGGGAATCTATCTCATCTCGTTGAATCCGATTTCCACTGTATTTAGAAACCACTCAGTTTTTATTTGTATTAGTTAAGGAATTTTATAGAATACAGCAAACAGCAAGTGTTTACAAAAATAGTGTTCAGTCGAGACGCATTGATACTATTCACTGTACAAAAGCTAGAGAGTCTGTGTTCGATAGTTTAGGAAATTTGACAATAGATCTCAGTTGCACCTCGAATTTTTGACCGCACCGAGAGTCTTTGGTGCCACGCCTCTTGTACTTGTAGCCTTGGTGTCCTGTTTCTGTTTCTGTCTCTCTGTCTTGCTTCTTCCTTGCATGGCCCGGTTATTGTGTCGATGTGCCTCAGTTTACTAAAATCAACAACAACAACAAACAACCCCCCCCCCCCAAACCCTCAAGACTTCTGGGCAGACGCAATAATATATATTATAGATTCACTATGTCGTTGAACTGGTTGGACAGAATACCGCGTAAAGCAACATACGAATACCCAATCTGGCCTACCAACCGGATCTTCTCGTGTGTTGCTTAGAACAATAAAAATCACAATGGCTGCGCCCATAGATACGAACTGAAAGTAGACGCCCAAGAAGAGTGTACCCAAAAATCTTTGATAAAATCTTGTTGGGAGGATCAAAACCTGCTACAATTGTTGGAAACAGGTGTATTCAATGGCAGATAACAACAAGGTCTTGCGAGTTGGAAAAGAAGGCTCTCTTAAGAGAGAAGACTATGCAACCCTTCGACACAGAAAGGACCCTTGCGTAAAGGTCAGCCCCCAAGGCTCAGCCTCAGCCTCGGGGATAAACATTTTTTGTTGGATTTTATTTGAATCATCCATTAACATCTTGTGCATTTTTATCTTCAATGTATTTTGATATTTCTGTATATTTTCACTTCCACTCCCGCACTCAGATGCACTGTTTTGGGGCTGAGGGTCAAACTAGATCCACTGCACAGTATTTTTGCTGCAGATCTCATAATGATTTATATAGAACAAGTTGGGCCCCCTTTCGATGAAAGGAATGATCGGTGCTTTAATATCAACTAAAAGTCATTGGCCTACTATATTTGCACTCTACTGGAATGGGACAATAAATCTTGAGAGATGCAAAAATTATAAGGTGTAAATCTATACTCTCAAAACAAAATGCACCTCGCGAAATATCACTTCCGATTTTCTAAAATTACAAAGACAGAAGCGTCGGCCTACAAAAGCGATCAGTGAAATAAAGAAATTTAGCTTTTTGCAGCAAAACTGTCTCTAAACTGAAATAACGAAGGGCGTCATGCTCTGGGGAATATTTTAAAGAATCTTTTGGCGAAAACCGCATGTTAATCGATGCAGCCATTAAAAAGTCTTTTGAATAGCAAAATTCGGCCACCACAAACAGATAATAGATCTAATGATGATGCCATGGCCATTAAAACTTTCGCAAATGAATTGTTATCAAGAAAAGTTCAAACCTAATTGCAAAACATCAAGTTTAATATAGATTCTATATGGGGAAAAAACAGGGCGAGGAGGTATACCCCCATAAAACTTCGGATTGGTCCAACAAAGTACAGAAATTAGGCCTACTCCGCAAAATGCTTCTAAGTGACTAGAGTAGAGTCTAGATTGAATAAAAACCATCAAATGTTTCAATTACTATTACTCTTTCACTACTGCGAGCTGTGTTTCACGGCTTGTGTAACCCCCAATGCTGGACGGTGAGCCGTGTTTCAAAGCTCACCATGTGCACTTAACCTACTTCCAAACCACACACCTACTTTTGTAAAAATCAAATCTGAAATTTCTGGCTGATGAATGAATATTTTTAGCAACATTTGAGATACCCTGTAGGTCATTATTTCCCTTTTATTTTTATATTGAAAATTGAACTAAAAAATCTTTAATTGTCCGACGGTAGAGGCAGAACAAAAGTAGGTCAGAGAAATAGGGCCTGGTCCAGGTGAGGAAAAACCCCCAGTAGTGAAAGAGTTGATTTACAACCAAAGTATGAAGTCAATATTTACAGTTAACAGATAAAAAATGAACAAGAAAAAGGCTTTGCAAAACCTCTGTGCATGAGTTGGTAGTCTTGAAATGCTTAAAGAATAGGTCGCAGAGTTCAGTTGTAAGTATTTGATTTTTCAATGAATTACTGCAGAATGGCTGCTGTGACCTATAGGCTGTGGCTATCATTCAGTCCGCATACCCGCCAAGTACAGTAGCCTAGCTGTTCGACACACCAGGCTTAAGTAGGTCATGTAGGGCCTGCACAGTGTAGTCTCCAACACAGTACAGTGCCTCACCGACGTGAGTGTCTCGTGCGCTGGGCATTACCTCCCTACCCCGATTCCTGATCGCTCACTCCCTTTCCACATCCCATTTTCAATCTGTCGCTGGCAAGTGCCACGGTCAGTGAGTCAGTGCCTCGCCTTTCTATTTTCCCCAGCAAGCGGCCATAAACAGGCGTTACAAGTATGCTACTACAAAGTTTGCACTGGTCTTTAGTGTACACCTCGCGTTGCTCGGTCTTTGGTACTGTAACTCCAACACCCTCTCCCCTCTGCCTCTTATTAGTTTCACTGTGTAGTTGTGTAAGGTAAGAATCAAGGGAAGAAACCAGCCTAAAAAGGTAGTGTTGTCTTTTTGCCGCTGACCTCCCCTTGTTTTTTCCTCTTTGGCTTTATATTTTCATTTATCGACATTTTTATATATTGACATCAAATCCACTTCCCAAAGCATGTCAATATAAGTGGATTATACTGTACGTTTTTTAAATACAAAGGCCACAAAATATGAAATTCGGAACCTAAAAATCTGCTAAACTAAGAGCATATTTCACTTTGTGCATGTTTGTTTATATAATGTACATGCTAGACCGTGCCTTTCGGAAGCTTCCAAGGTATATACTTCAGGAATGCTAAACCTTACCATTCTCCTTGAACGTTCTTCTATTAATTTAATGCCTGAAGGAAACAAGCTGTCTTTTTAATTTGCAGAGTTTTTGTTGAATTATATTTTCTTTTTAACAGGAACATGACATGGCTTTGAAGTGCCTGGATGATGGTGGATATGACCGTAGCAAATGTGAAGACTTTTTTACCAATTACAGAAATTGTCGTAAATTTTGGGTAAGTTGTCTATCATTCAAACTTAAGAGTTTTGCAAATATTTTGAAACTGAAAACCAGCATCTGTGGTGTAGATGCTAGGTGCTTTACTTTGCCATTGCATGCAGAAAATGCGAGTTCAATACCTGTGTGTGGAGAATTTTTATCAAGTATTTCTGTCTTTCTGCTGGGATATTGTGTCCCTCCCATCCTGCATTGGCCCTGACAGGCAAGGTCGAAGTAGCCTGCCTTATGAATAATCTAAATAGTGTCAATGGCTGTGAAAGACTACTACAGTTACATTAATTTTTTTCTGAAAGTGAAGAAAATCTAAGAAAAAAAGCTCAATGTTACTATTATAAAACAAGGTATGTATAATTTATAAAACACAACTTTTGGATACTGTAACGAAGTCATTATATCCAATGTAATGCCTGTGATCAGGTGCATGTCACATAATTGAAATGCAAGTTTTGACAAAGTATTTTGTTCCAAAAAAAATAATTATTCCTACAATGGTTGAACAGTAAAAAAAGATAGGCCAAATAGAATTAAAGCTACAGTGATTATGACTGAGCATTTTTTCTCAAAGTAATTGAATCAAACTAAAATTAACCTATAACAATTTGTGACTAATTCTCCTTTTTTAATTACAATTAGACACTAAATAAAAAATGTTGAGTCAACATGACAGATAATTCAAGATCATAATTGTATTCTGTATTTAAGTCTCTTTCACATAAAGAATCAAATCTAGTTCCAAAGATCTATAAATGGAGTTGATAGTTGAATATTTATAATTTTTAGATCTAGCTGAATAGTTTAGTTATAACTCACTGATTTTTCGTTTTCCCTCATTTTGTTAAGAAATTCGTCTCTGATGACAGAAGGAAGAAGGGCATAACACCATACTTGCCTCCCCCTGAGGAACGTGAGCAAGTCAAGACAGAATATCTTCATCAGCTGCATGACAAACTTTGAAGACTGGTCCTGCAAGTGTAACAGACTTTTGCCTGATTACTGTGATTAGGGTCAACTTTGAACAGAGTGTGACTGCTCATTTTCTGGTTTACTAGACTTTTCCATTATAGTGAATAATTGTCTGGTATGCCATAAAATGTCTGTTGCTTTGCAATCAAAGTGAGGTTGGTGTGTCAAGAGTTGATATATTATTATGATGTGAATGTTATCAGAATTGATGGCATAATTCAAATATTGGCTATTATTAAAAAGGATAGAAAAAAAAATGTAAACAGTGTTTGCAGAACATTCTGCTGATAAAAGTAGTTTCAGTCTCTGTTTTGCTGTAAATAATGTGGATAATGAAGTGTCAGCAGAGAGACAGGGAAAGTTTTGAAGCATGAGAGGGACAAAAAGTAAGAATGGTTTAGTTTGTGAGTGACACATGTTGTAAGAGTGAATGGTTAAATGATGTTTAGTGTCTCAGACTTTGAATTTTTTCAGTTTAGGTGTTCTCACTTACATTGCCTTGGATTAAGGCTTTTTCAAGTTTCAAATACTTTATTCTTTACAGTACAGGGGACATTTATCTCCTGTGTACGGATGCCTTTAAAACCTTGACTTATTTGATGTTTAAATGGCTGTTTAAAGTATTTTGGGCTCTGATTCACCGGTTATCTGTCTTATACTTAAATCTTCACATTAGTCCCAAGTGGCTGCAAGCTGAGTTTTCTATACTCAGTGCAAGGGATGGTCTGAATTGTTCGGCTTATTGGTTTATCTAGACTATGTTCTTTGAAGTGCACTGTATGTCTTTTAAATATTAAATTGGTTCTGTGTATAAGATACTAAATGTCTTTTATGAACTATTGTTGAACATCAATAGAAAAGACCGTAAGCAATAAAATAGAATAATAATAGAAAACAGAAATTAAAAATGAGTGTTTTATGATGAACTGAAATAGGGTGTTGACTGAGGAACGTTGAAAAAATTTATGTAATTCACCAATTGTCTGCAGGTTGAGCAAAAGACGTTACAAAATCACATGGTTTGAAGTGCAAGTAGGTATGGGTATTGTGTGTTGAGTATAAAATCTTTTTATGTTGAGAGGGCCTACTAGACTGTGACAAGCATTGGTCTTACTATATGTCAAAGAAGGGACTTAAACCATGTTACAAAAAGGAATGAGAGACTGGTAGTAGTATATATAATAATTTTTTTCTTCCTTCACAATTCTTCCACATCCACAGAGTAAAGAAGATAATGTGTCAAGTCCTAGGTGTAAGTGATTGTCAGATGAGCGAATGAGATGTAAGATGTGTCAAATTTGAGTTGGATGGAGTTTGAATAAAAAGTATATTTTTTATGTGCCTTTTTTCTCAGTTTGTCGTATGAAAATTGTACTTACTGCATTGAGTTCATACTGCTCCAGACTAAAATCTTAAATGTCAAGTTCAGTCTGATTTTTTACTGCACAAAAATGCTTCTGTGGCTCTTTTAATCCTTCGATCTAATTTCAGAAAACGATCCTGTTTCTTTACCTGTCCAGTTTCAATGTCCCTTTGTCTAGAACTGCTTGAAACCTAGTTAAGTTCATGTGTATTCTATCTTATAAAATTTGTAAATATTGTTCTGAATTTTTCACCCAACTATAAGTGGATTTTTTTTCCTGGGGATGAGGAGAGGGGGGAAAGGTAGTTTTCACTCTCTTTCTTCATGCGAGTTGAAAGAGTCAAAACATACAGTGAATATCAATAACGTATCATCATCTCTGCCATAGAGATATGACGCAATAACAGTGGAAAACATGAAGCAGACTTAAAAAGTACCATCGTTCAAAATTTCCCTGATGTAATGGTAAACATCACGTCCTACAAGGGGTTGCTCAACTGCATGTCATCTTTGCTCTGTTAAAATAGAACAATAAATTAATAATTACTTTTATTCTCTTCTTAAATCTTAGTCAGTAGGCTACTGGAAATATTCACGAGAAATGATGAAATTTCTAGCTAACACCAGGGAGAAGTTTTCTTGTGTAATAGCACTGGGTTAAGTTGAATTGTTGTCGGTCACAGTGAATCAGCACAAGCTCTTTTTGTCAGGATTGGAATCATGAAAAATCTGAAAATAAGTAGAAGGAGCTGTTCGCATCAGAGCATCCACCAAGACTACAAGAAATGTATTAAGGCTGTGAAAGTGCACAGTAGACTACCATACAGCACCTGGTGAGCCAGCTATCTCTTTGCATTCATTAGGACACCATCCCATTCTTGTCTTTAGAAGAATTCATATTCTAGGCAATTATTAGTAGGCATTAGTGAAATGAAGTAGCCTACTGGTACACTGGAGGAACTACAAGTAAAGTACAAGTCCATGTATAAATCTGCTGAGTTTATGAGTGTGCAATTAGATGTACCTGAAAAACGAGCAGATTTTATGAACATATCCATGAAGTACAATGGGTTCATGCACCGGTATACAGTCCATGCTGGCTTTAAGCACGGTCATCGGGAGAAAGCTTAAGCGTGCTTACTGCCGAAGTGTGCTTGAGTGCGAAGTAGACATAATCCAGAGATTTTCATGTAGAAAATTTATCGTGCTATTTTCCTTTGTTTGTAAGTAGGCCAATAGCGGTCCCGCAAAAGTGTGCACTGTTATTTTTACCCCCCATGGTAGTTTTTGTTTGCTTGTTTGTTTTTATTTTGGTGGTCGAACGGGGAATGAAAACTTACTTTAGACAGCCAGTCACGATACAGCAAACTAGGCCTACATACCAAACGCTGCCCGCTTTGCCACATTCATACCACCGCCTTCATCCCACCTCGCCCGTGATACACAATCAAGATTAATGGATAGCGAGGGTCAAAGGTGAAATCGCAGCCAGCCTTCCTTTCTCATCTCCACGACTCTCTTTGTATTTTTTGTGTCTGTGTGTAGCTTTGCACTAGGCTAGATCCTAAGTCCACGCGTGCTGCCTCTCCGCCCGTGTGAGTGTGTGTGTCTATCACTTGCGTTCTTTGTGTTTCTCTTAACTCACAAACTGCTGAGGTGTAGACTGTTTGAACTTCGATGGGTTATCATGAAAGTATTGAATGTCTTGTAAATGAAGCGTGCCTGAAGCCGAAGTTACCGTGCATAAAGGCGTGTAAATTATATAGGAAAAATTCGGTAAGAGCCATTTAGCGTGCTTGAGTCCCAAACGTGGCACTGACTGTATTAGTTTCATGTCCGCCTTTTTACTTGTATGATGAATTTATGCACAGATGCAATGAGAATGTACCAGAGTAATGAATATACAGTATACAAGTTCCATGAGTAAATGTACTTGTACGAGCCATGCTCCCGAAAAATAGACACAAAGTCAAAGATATGAATAAAGGTGAAACAAAGATGGCAATTTATTGTAACAAAAACTATTGAAAATTTTGACAAGGGTCATCTATCCTTAACATCTTGTGCAGAATCTTTTCTCCCTCTTGACATCTGCTCTCTAATGGTATTGATGAGTTGCTTCTCTGTGACAAATGTCAGTGCAAGGACTGTCAGCAGACAAAGAGCTGTCACTGCTATGTGGATTATTCTGTCTGTGACCGTCCCATCAACACAAAAGGTCACCTGAAAAAAGGCAAGAACATGAATGTTGATTTGAGATAAGCTGTAGGCTCTAACCAGTCAATACAACAATGGCTACATTTCACAAGGACCAGGGGAACAGGTTATAATAATAAAAATTGCTGGAAATAAGTTGCAGGAGCAGACCACATCAGAGTACACTTGGTACACTTTATTCGTTTTGATAAAGCAGAAAAGTTCATAGAACAACCGTACTCCAGCTAGTTTCGACAATTGCATCCAGCATCTAATTAAACATACTTCATATTTTTGTGTCTGAATACAAAAAGAATTACTGTATATCTAAAGTGGAAACCAAAAATAACAGGCCCGGTAATAACAGGGATCCAGTAATAACAGGGCTGCGGTGTGCTGCAGACTTCGATCTAGTCCTAAGCCTAGCAACATGCACGTTTAATGTGTCATGGGCAGGCCATGGGAAACTACCCATGAATAAATATAGCTGGATTAGTCCACAAATGCTTATTTCTCTTGCATTTCTGATTTAACAGGGATCTGACATAACAGGACTTTTTCTCTGATCCCACCATCCCTGTTATATCAGGTTTCCACTGTATGTAATTTAGCCAAACACCCTGAAAAATGTTGAGTGTAACAACTATCTACACTTGGGACAAAGATGAGAATCTATGATCTTCAGCTAGAACCCTTGATGAATATATATTCTAAACCAAAAAGGCACTTGCAGACCTGCTACTCTACGAAATCTAAAACTCAGGATCTCAGGGTGAAAAAAATCAGGATTTGGTGAACAAAACCGGGATCAATGACAAATCACCAAGGTGACTGCCAAGCTAACTTAAAAATTTTCCAGGGGCATCCATAAATACATCCATGTACATACCTGTATAATATGCCCGATGTGTGTTTGTGTATTATCATTATTTTTATTTTTTTAAATCCTGAAATATCACGTCAAGCTCTCCTACTCCAAGGGTCTTTAAGCCCCCCCCACCCCGATACGTCCCGAAAAACTCTTCAACCAGTGTGCATGAACTTAAGGTTGACCTCGCCAACGGACTGCCCACACACATGCCAAACTCAAACTTCGAAGCCAGGTCACCCGATGCAAATGCACGATTGAAACAGTTTTACTGACGGGTCTTGATGATGGGCCTGACTAACCAGAACTCAAACAATTTTGAAAGTAACAGCAGAACTACAAATAATATTGATCACTTGTTGTACTACCAACTGAAATAGTTGTCAGGCCATCATTGGAGAATCCTGAGTGGAAACAAAAGCGAAACTAGATCTTGAGAATGTCTCAAGTTGGAATACAATATATATTGATACTGCTTCCATTAAAGTTGAAAAATCACGTGCAAGTAAACATCCAACATGACTTGGGGTGAGTCAACTACTAAATCCAGAATCAATATTTTGGAAAATAGTGCTCTGAGTTACTAGCTGCTGACAACAATTTCAACAGGTGCTTCGTGCGACAGAGAAAAAGGCAGAGTATGATTTTAGAAAAATCTGGTACAACCGACGGAACCAAAAAAATCGGGAAAATCCGGAAGCTTGAGATTTGGGGCAAAAAATCGGGATATCCCGATTAAATCAGGATGAGTGGCAGGTCTGCACTTATCTAGTATGATACAACTAGACTACATCAAGGTCAATTTTTAAAAATATTGCTGGTTCCCAAGGAAACGTCCAAGGTGCAAATAGTTATTTGGTACATGATGTACCAGAAACTAAATTTTCAAAATAGCTGTATGCCAAATTTATCTGTTCTATATATGAAAGGCCCGATGTCTCCTGAGAATTTGTGTACCATTCTTTTACCTCTCAGTCAATTTTTAAAGAAAAATGCAGGATAAAATATTGCTAAAGTCGCTAACTGGCTGCAACCCCACGTTTGACAAATAATAAAAGAATACCAAGGGCACCAAAAATCTTCACAAGAACAGAGTAGGCCTACAATCATTATAACATAGATAGAAAGGGAGTCGAATTTTTTTCAAGATTGTGAGATCATTTCAAATCTGTATTTTATTGCCTGAAACTGAAACACGATGATCTGTCCTTATTTCAACAAAACACAGAGCATTGTTCCAGCCAGTGCCGCCCCAGCCCCTGCGGCGAGCGAGTCGGCTCTTTGCTGTAATAAACTAAGCACTCCCTGTGTGTGTGTGTGTGTGTGGGGGGGGGGTCACATGCTTTCAGAGTTTTCTGGAAGGATTAATGCAAATAATTCCAAGCTGATGACTTTACTCTAAAAGAAAATGAACTGATCTTTCTATTAGTACCTTTTTGAGCCGGTATTTTACATATTTTGTGTTAAAAATGAAAACTGAATGTATTTTGAAAGGCTTTCTATTGAAATGCTAAAAGGCCAAAAATATAGTATATACCACGAGAAAGCCCATTCAAAGCTCTATAGTTCTCCACCAATGAAAAGATGGTAGGCCTATTTAATCATTGATCTTTCCGTGAAGCATTCGAATGCATGGGTGTTGATTTTTTAACCGGCCAATCACGCATTCTGACCCCGAGGGGATTCGCTTTTCAAGATGATTGTCCAGCTGCAAATACTTAAACATGAAAACAAAAAACTTACACCATTGTAACGAGGAAAAGCTGAACTTTATCAAGAAAAGCTTTTGGAGTTTTATAGCGAAAGAATGAAGAAACAGGGATTTGAATTACCCCAATTCCACCAAAACCATGCGCTCGAAAGGCTGCATTTAAGCTACCTAATCTATGGGTGACTGAGTCAATCTTCTCTTACAAATTTTCCTAATGTCAAGATTCAAAAACTCACCTCAGACACTGCTGTAATCACAAGTGACACAACTAAGGAGATAATCACAGCCACAGATGGGCAGACATCTTGGAGAGGTTTGTGCTCATATGTTGAGAAGTACCGTGAGATGAATATCACACTGAAAAGGTATAAAACCACAAGAGTGAGAAGCTAGAACATCTTTATTTCATAAACTTTATGAGTCAAGACTTAATGTCAGCTGGCTATTATTATTATTGTACTGTACTGTAATGCCTCCTAAAAAGAAACAGTTCTAATCAGAATCTACCACTAGGCTAAAATCTGGTAAATAATGTAACAACGGCTAATCAGCATACCCACTTGTCTGTCTCATAAACGAACCCTTAAAGCACACAGTCACTTTCAATCCAGGCATAGCATGACTGACAGGCTGATTTATAAACACCAACCCCCCCCCCCCCCCCCCCTTCCCCCACATACCCAAATTCCATTTACACAGTACCACTAGAGTTCCAAAAAACAAAAGTAAGACTACCTTCTGTTATACAATTATCCAAATCTTATGGTTTCAAAACTAGCCTACATACACACTAGCAGTTTCTGGACAGTGCTATAAAACACTAGGTGCCACCTTGTATGCATAGTCAGTCTTTCACCTTAAAACAGCACAAGCCAAAAATTACACCAGAGGACAGCTTAGTTATTTTAGTGCGATGTCTCTGTCCATCATTTGTCCTTAAATTGGAGAGCCGTAGCTTACTGGATTACTCTGTAGCCATGTATTTAGTCAAAGGCCAGGGTAATTGATATACATCTAGTGGTGAGCACAAATGTTAATCTGATCTGCAGAGAACATGTAAGACGGTGCAGAAAGTCCATCTTGCAACTCACTTTATGATAACATATCATGGGCAAAGCAAAATCAACTTGAAGACACGGTCAGAGCACCCTCACCTATGCGCAATCCGAGCTCCCATGTTCAGACAGTTAGCCAGGATGAAGCCAACACTGCCGACCCACTGTGTGAGAAGCCAGGAGGAAAACAAGAACAACCCAGAGAACAGCAGCATCTTCTTATTGTACCTGAAGGCCAAGAAAACCATGGCAAAGTGTCAAGTTATATTTCAACTCGTCATTTTCGCTTTTCTCCAGCACAATTTTGTACACAATGAAAAAGCTTACATTTACTAACATTTCTAATTTGCAGAACTGTAAATGTTTGGTGCCGAATTGTTCCCAACATTTTTGAAAATAAAAGAAAATATACGAATGTTGGTAGGGGGTGTGGGGACTCCTGGTAGAAGCAAAACTATCAATCTAGCAACCCACTATGTCATTTTGACCTTTTCTTTCCATAGTTGGTTATTGATCGAAAAGGCCAAAAAAAATGAAAAGTAAGGAGAGGTCCTGTGTGGACTCAGTGGCACAATTTGTCAGAGATATTTTGTGGAGGAAGGAATACAGAATAGTGAATTTACAGGTTTGGATAAGAAGCTGCACATGAGGAAGATTGCTGGACATTACAAGAAAATCACTTAGGCAGGGTCATAAATGTACCATGCATACAGGCAAATGAGGACGAGTCATATCAAAATTTTATTTATAATTTACTAAATCTACAGACTTTTTCTCTCCATTTTTTTTCTACAACAAAAAAATCTTTATTCTTTTTTAATTCTCCTGAATCTGGTTGCTTTAAGTCCAGCACTCCTTTTCATAAAATAATCTAGAACAAACTAAACAAGAAACTATTGACAAAGTACAGTTGAATGTAGAAAATACAGAAGTTGTATGTTAGAAAAGAAGGTAGCATAACATTTATTGTTTTAGATTCACACATGTATCATATTATTTTCCATGACTTAAAAAACAAAAGCATGTCAAAGTGATAAAGTTTTACCTCACTGAAAGTACATGAATAAATATTGAACAGATTAAAAGAAAAAGAATTCACAGAAGCATCTATACTTACAGTAGTTTCCGCCATACAAAAGCACGCTCCGCCCAAACGCACACTTTCGTCATCTGACGGATTTTTTACTATATGATTTAGACGTACAAACAGCACGGTCACTCCCTCTTAACGCACACTCCGATCCGCGAAACACGCTGAAAGGTAAAGCTTAACAAGGGTAAATTTTCACTACAACCTGCACAGCTTGCATAAGACCAGCCTAGATTGGGGGACTGAAATCTTTTTTGATTGGTCACTGGAAATGCATCTTTGGAAGAAGGTTTCTGATTGGTGTTTGGGTGACTGCATGTAATGTTTAGTTAGACCTAGGCCTGATGCGCAACGCGCATAAATGCTGTAAAACTCCATATAGGCCTCTATAGGATTAAAGATTAGCCAAGTAAGCCTAATCAGCTGCGCTCGAAGAACTTATGATGTACTTGGTCAACGAATCACAAAAAAAAATGTTTCTCTGAATGAAGAGATCGATGATTCTGATTCTGATGTCGCCCATACGGTTGGGGGAGGTCACTTGGAAAACCACGTGGCTGGGCCGTTGTCTCTATGACTATCACCAACAATTTCCTCTTAGGTTACCTGTTCCCGATGTTTTACAGTGCATATTATTATTCATTACATTGAGTCTGCCCCCCTCCCCCCCCATTCAACACCTTTGTATTCTTAACACCAGTCGGGGAATCATTCTCGTGTCGTCACATTATCGGCTCAAAGTGACCCCTACCCCAAACGGAGGTAACTAGAATATCAAGGCAAAGAAATGACAGCATCCCTTCCTCCCTTTGCAAAGGTTCATGTAAACACATGCTAAGGAGCCCTCCAGAGCACCGTGCATTTAGGCGGAGACTACTGTACCAATAGCCTACCAATGAATCTAATCCCCCCCCATGAAATAGCAAGGGTATATCCAGGCAAACTTATTAACACAACACAACCCCCCACCCCCTACTATAATTAAAATCCCTACTCAAACTTAGCGATCAATAAATATATCAACTGAACACAATTCTGCTCTATACCTGTCCACATCCTCTTTACTCATGGCTGCAAACACAAAGGCCTCAGTGGTTCCATTGATGGCGATGACGAGGACATACAAGCAGTACCACCTCAGCAGTCTTGGTCCTGGAAGAACAGACAAGAAGTTACATTTGAATTATATAAACATAAAAGCAATGATGACCATAGAATCTCCTTTCATGCCTGGATGTGGAACTGCAAAAAGTAAAAAGTTTGTGTTTTACAAAAAGTAGGCCTACCAATCGCAAATTTAAAAAAGGACTTATAGCAAAACTTGCATCCTGTTTGATCATCAAGACCAAATTATAGTTGTGGGACTTGCATGCCTTTATCTACAAATGCATAGGTTTATGACTTACACTTTCCTAATTTTCATCTTTGATGGCAACCATTGGTTACAAAATGCAGGCCTATTTTACTACAAGTATCTGTTTATCCCTACTATTGCATCAAAATATAAAACATTATATCTGCACTTAATATGAGCTTTGGCTAAAAACAGAAAACTGCCTATCAATGTTACTTTTGCGCTCATCAGTTTATACAACATAAATCATCTTGTCATAGCTTATTGCTCAAAGAGTTGACTTTTTCCTATATTACAGATCTTTTCAGAGCATAACCATGCCAATTAAAGACCACAAAATGACATTTGCATGCTTACCATTCCCAGAAGATAGAATTTCTCCACCGTACAAATGCAAGGCAAGAAAAGAATTTGAGTATCCGAAGACAAGTATGATGCAGCCAATTAAAGTGACAGTTTTCAGAATGACTCCTAGTACCCGTGCACTCAGTTTAAGAGAATCCTGAAACACAAAACAATTTTATAGCCACAAAAAGCAGCATATTAACTGAAAACAAGGAATGTGTATTTCAACTGGGGTGATACCTACATGTAAAAATTACTTGATTTATTGGACTGCATTTATTTAAAAAGCAGTATAAGAAGAAACGAAAAAGGGGAATATGACACTTTTTTAATTTCTAAGATTCCAAAATTTCGAGACAAATGCCACTGTTATTATAAGCAAATAGGAGTCAATGAAAGTGGAAACCAAAAAATCATCAGGGTTTTCATTTCATGAAAATGATAAATCTCTAAGCAATGTAGAAGTTACCAATGGTATGTAAATAGTTCATTCAAAAATATGAGTGACCACCATTATGCATTCTGCAAAAACAGGTTTAACTATAACATTTTTTAATCTTGCACAAAAAGGACTTTGTCCCCATACAGGTTGTGTCTAATATTCAAATTCTCACTTTCCGCATTTTAGATTGCAAACGTGACCTTTAACAGCTTCGAGAAATTTTTCCTAAAACTAAAAATGTTCTGTAACCATTGATTTTAATTTTATGTGGCTTAGACTAAGTTAGACTCAGTATCGGCGCTCATATGACCTTATGCAGTTGCGAGCGCCGTAAAACCCTCTACTATAAAAAAAAAAAAGACTCAGTATTTTCTTTGAAAACCTACTGAGAGAGGATTCAGCTTTTCCTACACTTTTTGTTTACCTTTTCGGTAGAATGTTAATTGTCACAAAGCCCTTAAAATGGACACAATACCAGTAGCCATTTTCAAAACTGCTCTTGCTTCACCTTGCATTAAAACAACATTAAGCATTCACAACTTGAACAAAAATTAATGCTATGGACACCAAGCGAGTATTCTAAAAAAACAAAACCTTTCTGATCCTTCTGGAGATACAAATTAACCATAATAGAGGCCAGTAGTAATCACCTGGTTCTGTTTCTCCATAGGCAGTCCTCGTGTGATCATGTGAGAAAAGAATAAGTAGCTGTTCTCTTCTATGGGCAGAAAGATGAAGCGTGCAGCCATAGAACCCAGGTTGTTTATCACATCATAGATACCTAAAAAAAAAAGGTGTTCTCTTTAACCTTACCAAAAAGAACCCAAACAAACTATGGTACCATGATAGTGCTATTTATTTCATAAAGCAAGACAAAAAGAAGCACAAAGGATACCAGACATTTTTTACTACACTGACTGAAAAACTCAGTTTGTTTTCTGAATTTCAATTTACAAGAAGGTGCTGAGTAGGAAAGATGATTACATTTGTTCGTGAGAAATGATTCCATTTTCCAATAGCCCCACCTATTTCAGCAAGTAAATTACTACACAAGTATAATTATTACATTAGCGTTTTCAAAAACACAAACAACAAATTAGTTCATCTTTTAAAAAAAAAAATGATGTGTAAATAATAAATCAACTCCACTCACCTTGATCTCCAAAGCTGAGGACATCAAAGAAAGTCATCACATACTTCTCTCCTGTATGATCAAAAAAGAAAAAAATTATCAGAGAAAAGCAGACATGAATCTTGCTCTTTTCATAATCAAACCAGCAAAAAAAGCATCTTCAGTGAACCTTTGACTAACTATTGAAAAGACGCAATTCAACAAACAAAGCTAAAATGGGCTGTACAATGAGAAGCACATGACAATGTGTCTTTCTTCTCTGCTTAATGTAAATTTCACCATGGTTTGAAATATTACGCTTCATGGTGTTGAGGGGTGAGAATACAAAAGAGTTGCACATGACCTATGACCTCTGTAATCCTGCATCCCCCTCCTCAAGAGCTATCTTCAAAAGCACAATTGAAGGGCATCTTTTCCTCCATCCAGGACAATCAAAAAAACAAGCAAACCCCAACTAATTTGTATGAAATCAGTCTTGTTAAATTATGAAATTAATAAATTATTGTTAGATAGATTAATTAAAAAAACACAAACAAAAAAAACAATGAAATAAATGTAACTGACTTTGGAATATAATATGGCATTATACATAAGAACCGAAAATCTCTTTTTAGGAGATTGAAAAAAAACCAACAAGAAAAACTATGAAATAAATGTAACTGACTTTGGAATATAAGGTGTTTTACATAAGAACCAAAAATCTCTTTAATTATGACAATACTATCATGACAGAGAAATAAGACCATGCCTTCAGTGAGGATCTGCTTCAGGAACGACTGCTGGAAGAAGCTGGCTGTCAGACTGGCCAGTTCCCTGTCAATGAAGGGCTGTCAAGAAAAGAAGAAGAAGAAAAGTTTTGTATTTGTGATAACAAATCCCTGGGTAGACTCACGCAACTGCGGAATATCTACCTTGGTCAGACTGTTCACCCTGATTTACTAATTCAATCCCATGTAATAAGAAAAGAGACTACCTTTCTAAAAAAAGTAGAGTGGAGACTTGTCAATATCCACTTCCAAGCAAGACTACACTTGTCTGAATATCAATAATAACAACAAGTACAAAAATGTTGAGGACTTCAAAGAGAATATTGCAGATGGGTTGGCATATTCACAAACAGAACAGAAATCAGTGGCATTTCATAAACCCCACGTGAGATGAAAAGAAAATGTTATAGTTTTACGAATCTAAAAAAAAACATGTATGTAAGGAATCGCAATCCATAAATCATAAATCTCTAACTTACCTTGTCTTTTATGACAGAGGGATAGATGTCTCTGATCGACTGAAGGGGAAAATTGTCCATTTTCTTCTTATTTGAAGAAATGAAATAAGCGAAGTAGCCATGATACAATAGTGTATAAGTGATGCTGGAAAGTACCTAGTGATGAAAAGAAAAATGCAATGCTTTTTCAACTAAATCTCACTTCAATGACACACGAGTATTATCAAACCAGAATGCACAACACACAGAAAAAAGGTTAACAAAATCTACCAATATGTAATTCCAGAACATAAAATTAGTGAAGTCTAGTAAAATGCATTAAAAGTATATGTCCGGGGGCAAAAAAAAAGTGACTGCAATACCAGCTGTACTGAAAATCGATATGCATATTTACTTGTTCATGGGTGGCTGTGACAGAGAGCAAAGTCAATAGTCTTTATAGGAAATGCATTAAAGGAAAATAGAAAGCTTTGAGAGCTACATGAAATTAACACATTAAAATTAAATAGCACCACACTAAAACAATGAAATGCGAAAAACATTTCAACTATGGTATTCTACAAATCCCCCCCCCCCCTCCCTACCCAGAATAACAGATCATAGATAATGTCAATTTTAAATCAAAATAGCATTTCAAAAGAGGATTCTTACTTGAGCAATGGCAAAATTTCCGATGCCCCACTGCGGCCTCCACAAGACCAGGAGCACAGTAACCCCACACTTGACCCCCTGAGACAGGCCCAGAAACAGAACCTTCACACAGGAAGAAAACAATCATATTTCCCTTGTGACAACAATGTGATTAATTACATTAATTCAACAAAGAAGTCTACGAAAATCAAATTTAGGATTATTTACAAAGAGCCTCATTCCTGAGAGTGCTGTCAGAATGACAGAGAGAATTAAAATAGATTTTCAGAAAAAAAAAAGAACAAACACCCTCCCCCCCCCCCCCCAAATTCAACAGAAAAAAAAGACCCATCCATATCAGCATCTCAGGGTACTCTAATAATATAAAGCCTTTAGATAAACCTTTAACAACAAAATTTTTTAAAATATAATGTACGATAGCAGTACCTATGGTAAAAAACACAAACCTTTGATGCTAAATAGATTCAGGGTAATAATAAATTAAGAAGCTCATACTTTCGAACAGGGATATGCACTAAATAAAATATGCAACTTGTCATTATCATTTATTACTCTACAAACCCATTTACATCATTTCTTTCATCACGTAACAAAAAGCAAAGAAAATTTTTTTTTCTTCTACTCAAGTTGCAACTATCTACCACTTTCTTTGATATCTAAGTTCCTACCTTGAGTTTAACAAAGAGAAAAGCTTGGCCAACAACAAAGAGTGGCTCTGCTAGAACCTCGATCACCGTTGACACAGCAAAGCAAATGACACCGGTGGAGTAGTGTGCGTCTGCTGGGTTGTCCAGGAGATGAAGCCAGACGAAGGTGAGCAAGCTGCAACACAGGCCTGCCAGGGGGACACTGGGCAGATGATGGAGAGCAAATTGTTGGTGAAAAAATAAGTTTAAGTTAAGAAATATAATACTGGAGAGAAGAAGACAAAACACCAAAAAGAAAAGGAAAGAAGCAAAGCAGGAAAGAAAGAAAAATACAAACAAAGAAATATGGAGAGGAAGAAAGAGGGAAAGAAAGAAAATGATAAAAGTGCGGGGGGAAATTCATTGTACAATGTGATGCTTTTTATTTGGGTACAAGTATTAATGTAATAGGCATAATATGAACATATCTGAGTGTATTTGAGAGTGAATATAAGTGTGTGCAATGTCAAAGTGGCAAGAATACTGGTGGAATGATACACAAAAAGACAGGCTGAATGTCCAGTATGGTCTTCATAATGAGAACCATAAAAAACTTTTTTGTTCTATCTGTTACCATGTCATCAAAGTCACATGTATCAATATTATGAAAGTCCTTTTTAACATCATCACCACCTTTGAGCTGTGAATTGAAACTATCTAAATGGAAGTCAGTCAGCTCCTTGTTGCTGGCTTCTCTCTTCTGCATTTAAAAGTGAATAAAAAAACCTTTATATCAACTACATTTAAAAAAAGGGTATGTGAGACAACATGATGAGCTTTGAAAAGGAAAAACTTACGTGCACCAAAGCAGATTAATGACCTGTCTCCAGTCTCTTGTCTCTGGCTTAGTCAGACAAGCTCTATCAAATGCCTCTTTCGACAGAAATAAGGATGTCGAATATAAAAGAGTCAGCCTGAGAAAATATATATAGCTGATAAATGATTTTTTCAATACCTTATTTTACATAAGCTATGGCTGTGTGGATTACACAAGATGGGATGAGTTTTGGTATGATAAACTTAATTATTACTGCACTACAAAAGCAGATAAAGATAAACAGGGTGATTGGAAGACGAAGCTTGAAGGTTTAAAAAATAATTATACAAAAACTCAAACTTAAAATAAAGGACAATTTGATTACTTATGGTGCAGAAAGTTGATTGTAATTTTGTAGAGCACCCAAATAGATTCTGTCCCATCAAATCTTTTTTACAAGCTGTAAAGAGACAATTTTATCAATAATTCAAAATCTTACCTCAATCGACCTGATTCTTTTAAAACATAGTATTTTTAACATTATGAATTAAATACTAAAGCAACCAAAGTTAAGAAAGGAATTGCAAATACAAGGGGTAATATTCAAACAACTATTGGATTCGATCATTCTTGTTGGCTCCATCAATGCGTTGGCAAAATTCGGACAAAAACTTACATGAAAGGAGAGGTTAAGAATGGGTTTCGATTAAAGATACGGTCAAGACAAATCTCATTATCAAAAAAATATCCTAAAAACAAATATTTAACCCCTGTGTGCAACTTACCTCACATTGACAATGCCTAAGGTGTCCTGAGACACATATCGCAGTATGAAAGCATTCAGAACAAAAGTGGTCAATCGAAGGCCAAACTGGAGAGAAATAATCATTACGAACAATTATAAATGTTACACTTAATATGTGCTAAAGAAAAAGGAATATTGGTAATTTTAATCTAAAGAATACATTCAGCAAAGATATATATATATATATATATGTAATATGCTTTAATGTGAGCAAATCACTGGACTGTGACCGATCAACAAAATCTATACCGTAGCTTAGAAAAAAAGCAAATCTATTTGCAAAATTTAAAGAATGTATAAGAGTATACAGATTGAATGAAAATAATTCTTTATCATCTCATCCTGAAGAGCGCTCTATTCTAGCACAGACTACACAGATATAAAAGAAAATGTCTTCATTCTCAAAACACCTGAGGTAAGTAGTGAAAAAAAATATATATATACCTGTAAGACCATGTTATAAGATGCTGCTTTAGCAGCACTTGACAACACAGCTGAACCTTGCATGTTGAGGTCTTTGTGGCTGGGTTTCTCTATGCCTGAACAGTCAACCCTGTAGTAATGAATATATAAAAAATAAAATGTGTTACTTATCATACTAACAATTTTTTAAAAAATGTAGCTGCTTTGAACTAGTCATTTACAACAACAACAAAATAAGAAAAGAAGTCGATAATCTTCAGATGTCCGTGAGTGTCCTGCTTCAGCTTGTAGACTGATATCTCTGTAGCCGGGATCCATTATTCATACACTAGCTGATGGCCATGAGGGACATTCTTTCAAACAGCCAATTTATTTCCCTGGGATCATCAGTAGTGTCAGTCAACAATTGGCCAACTTGGTGAGGGAATTGAATTGTCATGGGGGTGGATGATGCCGCAAGTTTCAACAGCCACTTTGACAAAGTAACAATTGGTGAGGCTTGTGTATTTTTAAATTTGGGCTTCTTTAGCCTTTTTTACAATATTGTCGGAGGTGGAGGCTGAGGACGTGACTGCCAGCAGCGAGAATGAATCCGAACAAGGGGTGTTCCACACAAGGCATTTGCTATCCTCAAATAGAAAGATATCATTTGACCTTTTGTCATCACCCTAGTCAAGGCCTGAGGGTTCTAGGAGGAAACAATATAGGCCAGATGCATTCTATGTTGTTGAGGGGCTCATGAAGCGGGAGATGATCTCCACTTCGATATCATAAGAAAGGATGTGGGCAGAGACTGTCAATATGCTTATAATTGGGAGAAAATTTTAAAAGCAGGATTATTAGTTATTACTTTGAACAACGCATTCTCTGGGAAAATAAAACATGACAGATATACTATACTGAACTAATGACCCCTGAGCCTGAAGTGATAGACTTAATTAACCATCATGTATGGGATTACAATCCTGTACTGTTTTGATCCCAGGTCCAAACTATTACTATTTTAACGGTAGTACCCTACCTCTAAAATTATTATAATATTCCATTGGGAGCAAAAGCCGAGTTTTTCAACTATGTAAATAAATACATTCAATCAGACCAAACTATCAAACTAATGTTTCGTATAGATACATTAGTCTCTGCCTCAGATCCCACTGCTTATGATCCTGGTTCGCTTATGATCCCGGTGTTTTACAAAAAACAGAATTTTTACTTCTACACAAAGACAAAAGACATTTCTAAGATCCCACTCGAAAGGACTACATTTGGGTAAGATCCCACATTTCAGGACAAAATTTTCAGAACAAAAGACCCCCCCCCCTCACTGACATGCATGTATTTTAAACCTGAATAATTAGATCTAGATATCTAGATCTAGGCTACCTTTGTGTGTGTAGGCTACTCAACAGTCAACAGGTTTCGGTCAAAGGGCCTAGCTTGCCGTAGGCCTACTTCATATATATTTTAAATATATATATATATATATATATCTCTGTATGTATATATATATCTATGTATGTATTGTATTTTACTGCAGCAAGTGGCTATTCTCCGGTGTCACGCCGGTCAACAGATCGAAGGCTATTCTCCGGCGTCACGTATAGTTGCACATGTTGCTTCTCCTCAGTTTTCCACCTCCCCTGTTGGCAGGTTTTAATGGCCTTGCACAAACACTCATCAGGGCCGGCATTTCTTCAGAATGCGATTCACCATAGGTGGACACGCAGCCACTACAGTACTCAAGGAAAGGGTGATCTTTTATACTTTAGCACATTCAATTCCCAAAGTCTACTAATCCTCGACTCAGACCTTCAAAACTTTGAACTGGGCCTAAAAATGTGCAAACTACCGTAATTTAGTCATGAACAGATGGTATAACAGTGGTTTTCGGTCTTCCATTGTGATTTTGGAAGCCAGTGAGTATAATCTTGATTAGATAGATCATGTTTTAAAGTGGTCGCTCGTTACAGAAAAGGGAATAAGGCATTACTCGGATATGGTGGTCCCGATTTTGTGACAGGGAAAATCTAGAATCTAGTTTTGACAAAGATAGTAAATAACAAGATGGGCCACTCAGCCAAAAAAGTGTCTGCAGGAAGTTCGCTCTTTGCTTCAGATGGCGCAGCAGTCTGTTTTGAAGCTCTCTTTCATTTTTCCAGAAGAAGAATGGGAATAGCACCTCCTTGCGTGCGCAGATCGACTGCTGTTTCGTTCAGTGTGGAGTTTTAGGTTTTTTAAAATTTTAATGACCTTCGCCTTTCATTCTAAAGTCAAATTAAATGAAGAAAACAATCACCCTTTCCTCCGGAAGAGGTTTTTTTGTCAATGTAACCATTTTAAAAAAGCGTTCTTCCTAAATTTATTTTTAAAAAGGAAATTTTTATTAGTTTCACTTTGATTTTTTAAACTCAAGTAGGGTAACTCTGTTCGCATTTGCGAAAAGGGTGTCACCAAATTTTGAGGACACTTTTTTAATTGGCTCAAAGAAAGGAGTGGCCCGTCTCCGTCTTGTTATGGAGACTCTTTGATCTGGGCTACTGATAAAAAATAAAACATTGATACGGACATTTAAATCAGTTTCGATATTTCAGTAGATCTAGATCTAGGCCTAGACCACCATATCCAAGTAGTGCCGGGAATAAAATCAATTGAAAAACTTAACGTGCTGAAGTATAAGATCACCAAGGAAAACTCCATTGACGGAGGAAGGAGGAATGGCAGGGCGATTTTGTAGTTTCAGGGGGGCTTGCCCCCCTGACCTAAAAAAAATATGGAGGTGGGGGGGTTCAGGGGGGCATGTCCCCCTGAATTTTGTCCTAATTTGATGTTTTGCAGTTAGGTTGCATCCCTGCTCTTTGTGTAGCCTAATTCAAATAGAAATCTAGTATTTGGTCTTCAAGACTTCTGGATTTCTTCTCTGGATGTAAACAAATGGATCGTGGACTTTAACGAACGGAACTACAAGATCACCGAGACAGCGCCAGAAGTGCCAACAACCATCAGTCACAACCAGAAATACAGGAAGGCGCATCTGGCACTGAACTCAGTTGCAACAATAATGGCCATGATATGCCAACAGGGGAGATGGAAAGATGTGGAGAAGCGACAAGTGCAACTATACAGGACACCTGCAGGAGAATAATAATAGTATAGCCATCGGCGATCTATTGACCGGCGCGATGCCGGAGAATAGCCACTTGCTTGACTGATATTTTACTGTAGATCAAGAATTTAGGCCAAACCAGACCTCACCTGCTGCCGCAACATTCCCGGTGACATTACCAGCCTGGAACTGTCACCAAGACTGTTCAAAGCTCTAGCCTACGTTGCGTGAGAAACTCCGAACTCAGAACAGACCGCTACGTATGTAAACAAATTTTAATAACAGTTGCAGCGGTTCCGAAAGTTTAGAGTAGTGATGCGCAGGTATCGATACGATATACTCGATACTTAGATACTAGTGATGGGCAAGTATCGATACCATATACTCGATACTTAGATACCTATAGGTATCGGTATCGGTACTGATACCCGCTCTAAACATCGATACCTATGTGTTATTTATCCCAGGGCTGCCAAAGCAAGTGACTTTGGCTTGAGAATTTTTTGTTTATCAAAACAGATAAGTTTTCGTAGGGGGCAAGCGTTTTAAATTAATCTAGTGATTTTTTAACAAAAAAGAGAAGTTTTTCATGAAATGTTTCTAGTGATTTTGCAAAATCCTCACTGACAACCCTGATTTATCCTCATTGGTTTAATTTGAAGTTGCTAAAAATCTGGTAAATTGAATTGCCTTTTTAGAACTCTTGTGTTTTTATTTTCCAATACTAACATTTTCTGCAAAGTTGACTTTCCTCCCATACTTCACTTAATGTTTGTTTTTATTCTCATATTTGGGTATTTATTTCTCTCTCTCTCTCTCTCTCTCTCTCTCTCTCTCTCTCTCTCTCTCTCTTCCTCTCTCTCTTTTACAAATAATTTTTGTTTGAGTCTCAGCTAAATAGTCACAACTTGTCTAGACACGATCACCTAAATACTTGGAAAAGTATAGTTGTATTTTGTCTTTACTTATTACCCCCGACGTATGTTACCAATAGCATTAGGTATCGAGGTATCGGTATCGATACCTTGAAAAAGTACTAGGTATTGACATCGATACCTAAATTGTGGTATCGGCCCATCACTACTTTAGAGTTTAGAGTAGCTTCCCTTCGCGGAGATAAAATAAGAATTATTGTATTGTCTCCCCTAGGTCAGGTCAAAGTCCACCATCGTACCGCAACTCCTCAATCCTCAAGCAAACAAACAGCTACGAGATGGCCGCCCTCTGCCGACAAACGCTTCCAGGTTTTGCCCGTAAGTATTTTACGGACATGTTATAAACACAATGGGGATAGTTAAAGTTGTTACTTTTTCTTGTTGTCAATCAATAATTCCTAGATGTCTCTTTCTTCAACTCTTCATGTTACTACTGCGTGCTATTTTCCTCTCCCTAGCCCTGGGGAAAGTTACCTGCTGAGCAAGGTTTGGACTTCTCTATTTTTTCTGCAGCAACCAGATCTTGATATGAACTTTGACCAGTCTTTTTACACTTTAAGCAGAAGTTTGATTGAACTTTATTTTGATGCTTTTGAAAAGTTCCTGATTGTAGTAAATGGTCCAAAGTTGAATTGTTAACTCTAATTAATTTAATAATATAATAACTTTTTGAGTCATTGACTTTGACTTACTTTAACTCTTATTTTTGTGTGCTGAGACTGAGACAGTTCGGCACTGTTCGGTAACATTGGCTTGGCCTGCCTTGGTTAAGATCTATTTTATCCTTTATGACCCCTAAAACTGATGAGTTAAGGTATGGTTATCAGTGAAATTGAACAATTGTAAGTTTTAGAGATTTTTATATCGATGTGTCACTGGGCTCTTGCAAGTATGCAAGTCATGCTCGGACTCTACTCTATCTGGAAAACGCGCCTTTTAAGACATTTAAATTACTAATGAGATGTAATTGGAATTTAGCTGTTGGTTAAAAGGTCTATTTGAATTTTGTTAAGATTTGAAAAAAATTTATAGGCCTCCCCTTTTTTAAAACCGACTTAGAGGCCAGCGGCAGCTTGCATGATTGTGTACAGAAGCAGTTGAAATTGAATAATAATGAGTGTGTGTATACAATGGTCACTCAAGGCTCAAGGTCACAAAGAAAGGTGATGACGGGCGGCCGTTAAGGACATGGTGTGAGTTATGGTCATTGACTATATATGTATAAAAATGAATTCTCACAAGGTAGCATAAATCGCCAACAACATGTTTGTTTGTGATTACAATACTTGTAGGCCCTACCATTGATTCACGGTGAAACTTGGTGAAGGAGTCGACAAATGGTTTAAAATCTGAAATATTAATTTTATTTTTCCTTTTCATTTCTCTATCAAAAATGTTATCAGTCATATTACGAGCTTTTTCTAAAAGAAATGCTGCCAAATCAAACACAACTGGATACAACAGTCATTACCTTATTCAAAACAACAAAGAAGAAAACAAACAAACATCCCTGACTTGTCCAGCTGCTTACCACATGGTAATACAGTCACAGAGATGCTGAACTGCTTGTCGTATAAAACTTTTAATATAAATTTATTGAGGTCAGCTGCTGTAGTGTGTTATTACCAGCTGTTGTGTAGGGTGAAGGCCCTGCACTAAGTCCTGCTCCCTCTTGTTTAGAGTAGGTAATGCCTAGTCAGGTGATAAACCAAACAACTTTTTTGCATTGATTGATGATTGTAATTGTAATCATACTCATTCTGAGAACAAATTGTCCGAAAACTTGTAGCAATGGACTGTTATCATGAACAGGTTTTGAGGCCGCCTAGTCTCGGAAATGAGAATACTGCTATGGACAAGTTAAAAATACAGGAAAGACGTAAGGGTGTCATGAAATAGTGGCTGTCAATGCAGGTGACTGCTAGGGGGAGATGACAGCTAAGGGAGGTGTGACTTTTCTACTGTTTTCGACTATTAGTTTCATTTGATCAAAATCCTGAACTTTTCCTTGAATTTTAAAGCTTTTTATTTTATGTCTGATGTGTTGCAGGATCTACTGGGCTACGATGTGTAGGAACATCATCTGGGCAGTTTCAACAGGCTGCTGCTGCTGCTCAGACTCAGAAGAGTAAGTGTGTAGTTTTTTATGTTCTGTGATGACCAAAATAAACTTGAATGTATTGTAAATGGCAAATTGTTGGCCCTAATATATTTTTTTGTTTTGTTACCTTTAGTAAGAGTTTTACGTCACTTGCATCACAATTAGGTCAGTGGGTGGTTGGTGGGTGCTCTGGTGTGGTTCGCTTCTTCTTTCCTATTAAACATCTATCGTCCTTATCTCCCCTTCTTCTTTTAAAAGTTTCTTACTCTCTTAACACTTCTAATCCTCTGGTGCTCATATATGACCTTATGCAGTTGTGAGCGCTGTAAAACCTCTACTAAAACTAAAACAATTAGGTCATATAAGTGCCGAAGTTTAGAAGTGTTAAAGAGAATACAAAAATAAAAGAGGAGAGATTTAAGGCTGATAGATGTTTGATAGGAAGGAAGGTGAGCAAACTGCACCAGAGCATGTGCCAACCGCCCACTATCTCTTTATGAAGTGTTGCGTTCAATAAGTGTAAACTATTTGAAATGAGAAAGACAATGAGCAGTGTAAAATATTAATTTAAAAGAGAAAGTTCACACAGGGGAAAGAGCATGGAACACTATCTTGGTGACTCCATGCTCTCCCTGTTTATTTTATGTTTGAACAAAGTTTTGATAACAATTTTGGTTTTTGTATTGAATTTGCGGAATCTATCATTTTTGTTTTGATTGGAGGGTATTGTTAATAATCACTGGTGCAGAAATGTGTTGAAGACCCTTGAGATTTTATATTCTTGTGATCATTATAATGTCCATTTAGTGTTTTTGAGTTATGAAGAATTTATATTGCTTTTTTTTTTTTTTTCAGAGCAAAAAACTTTAGCCCGCCCAAATGTGAGGAACATTGTTCTTGTTGAGGGTGTTCGGACCCCATTTCTCCAGTCTGGAACGCAGTATAAAAACTTAATGCCCCATGACTTGCTCCGACATGCTATGAAGTAAGTCAGATGTATTTGATCTTTACAAGAAGCAAAGTTTTTATTTTGTTGCTGACATTTTCGGTGTAGATCGCGATGTTTCTGTTGATGCCAAAATTATAGAAGAATAAATTGGTAGCAATATATGTAGATTGAGAACCGTTTGCATATTTGTGACAGCTAAATGTGCTCTTGAAGTAAAAAGGAATGTAAATTTTAAACATGATTTTTTAAAATACTTTTTTTGAAGCCTTATGTTTGGCACTGCTATATTCAACAACTTCTGACACAGTATACATTCTTTTCCTAAAGTCATCTTTTCGTGTTTGCTGTATTTTATAGGGGGCTGATCAAGAGGACAAGTGTTCCTACAGGTGAGTGATGAAGAAGAGGAGTTAGAAATGAAAGAAATTGCTGATAACAGTGATCTTATGCTGTTTTTATGAACATTCAAACTGTTGTACTTTTAATAAAAAGTCTGAAGTATAAGTGCTTTGAATATAT